ATGAGGGATCTTCACAACCCTGGGATTTTTTTTTTTTTAATCATAAAGAACAAAGGATGGCTACTTGGTCCATACTGGGAAAACATCATAACAATGCAGCTCCGTGAGAGAAACCGGACACAAAATGGAATCAGGTTTTGTGTGATTCCCTTTATGAAAAATGTCCAGGAGAAGGAAACCCGTAGATACAAAAATCTGATGGGTTTGTCTGGGGTTGAGCAGGAGGACAGATGGGTGATGGACTGTTTGGTATTTTTTGGGGGGGGTGGGGGTGGGGATTTAAAAAGCTCTTGAAACAAGATAGACATTGTCATAGGGACATTGTGTATTTACCGCATTCTAGTGAGTTTTCTATTTTAAAAGGTTTAATTGTATGTTATGTAGCTGTTGCTTCAATAAAAATACATGCAAGTGAAACAGGCATGGTTCTCTGTAGCTCCCTATACATTGGAGGTTGCCCCACTGGTGTCTGTGGAGTTTTATGGGAGCAGGACTCCCACCAGGTCAGTGGTGCCCTACATGCCTTAGTGCTTAGGGACCAACCTGCTAATGAAATGTCAACCTTCACTCCTGACTTGGGCTCAGTCTATTATCCAGGATGAGGCCCACCATCCTGCATCCTTTTGCACTCATCTGCCATTCAACCAAGCATGCACTACTGCTTCAGATTTACCTTGTAGGCTTGGGGGATACACATGCAGCTTTCACACGGCCCTCCCACCACACATCTCCCATAAAAATGCCTTCAGCAGGTCAGAAAATGACACCAGATTTCCGGCTTCCAATGCTCAGTAATTGAGTGTTAACCTATGAACCAGGAGGTCATGGTTGGATTTCAGGTCAGGGCACATGCCTGGGTTGTGGGCTCCATCCCCTGTGTGGGGCTTGCAGGAGGCACCTGATCAACGATTCTCTCTCATCATTGATGTTTTCATCTCTTATTTGCCCTTTCCCTTCCTCTCTGAAATCAATAAAATATATATTTATTTTAAAAAGAGAAAAAGAATGACATCATATTGGGGCTCTTTGTGTCTCAGGCACTGCCAAGCCTCATAACAATCCTCAGAAGTAAGGTTTCTCAATTTTGCCCAACACGCAAAGAGGAAGAGAAGAGACTGGTTAAAAATAGATGCTCAAAAAAAACCCCAACAAAAACAAAAAACAAACAAACCAGAAACAAAATACATGCTCAATAAATGAGTCCCCAGGTTTTAGACTACAGCCTGGGAATTGTGTCCCACACACTCTTCTACCTAAAGCACGGAGACAGAATAAACAGCATTATATAAGAAGGGACAGTCTGGGGGACAAGAGGTGGTGAGGAGGCAGAAAGGACTCCGAAGGTTTGAAGGAGAGCAGGAGCTCTGCTCACAAAACAAGGAAGTTAGAGGGAGGAAGTGATAGGGAGAAGCAAAAGCACACACCCAGGCCAGGAGGAGGGTGCTGGTGGCCTCTGTGGGTGATTGACAGTGTTGTGACATCCCCCAGGCCTCCTGTTCCTCTTGGGGCCAGCAACCTTGGCACAGCCAATGGCACACTCCTGTGTGTGAAAGTATGTTTGTGTGCATGTGTATGTATGTGTGTGTGTGTGTGTGTGTGTATGTGGGTGGGGTGTATGAATGTATTTGAATGTCTGAGAGTGGTGTGTGTGTGTGTGTGTGTGTGTGTGTGTGTGTGTGTGTGTGTGAAGGTGTATGTGTTTTTTTTACGGTATGAGTGTGTGTCTTGTGTGTGTTTGAGTTTTTATGGGCCTATGCATGTATCAGTTGGTGGGTATGTGTGAGTGTATAGTGTCTGAGTATATACGTGTGTGTTGCTGTTTTAGTGTGACTGTGTACATGTGTGTGAGTGTATATGTGTGTGAGTGACTGAGTGTGTATGCTTGTGAGCATATATGTCTGTGAGAGTTGTGTGACTAGTAATGAGAGTATGTGTGTATGCATGAATATATGTGTGTAAGAGTATGCAAACATGAGTGTGTGAGCCTATGTTAGCATATGAAAGTGAGTGTGTATGTGTGAGTGTATGTATGTATGTAAGAGTGCTTAAGTGTGTATGCTTATGTGTGTGTAAGTGTATAGGTATATGAGTGTAAGTGTATATGTGTGTATGTGTGTGTGAGTGTATATGAATGTACATGTATGTTTGAGAATGTGTGTGAGTGCATGTATATGTGTGTGTGTGTGTCCATGGGCACTGTACCCATCTGTCTGAGTGAAACAGAGGTGAGAGCTGAGGTGGGAGGGTCACATCTGATGATAATGAATTGTCTTGAGTTCAGAAGGAAGAATCTGGACTCACTCTGAAGACAGTGAAGTCCATGGGAGGGATTTAGGCATAAACAGCATCTGAAAGGGAGGGCCAAGGGCAGATGTGGATAGTGAACTGAAGAGGGGAGTGAGGGTGTGGGGCTCAGAGCCCAAGAAGGTGGTGGATGTGATGGCTTCCTTGGGGGTGTGAAGGTGACCTCCCTCCCTGCGTTGGTGACTGGGGACAACTAGGAGCCCTCAGGACAGTGAGCCCAGGTGTGGGGAGGGAGGAGCCTGGGGCTCTGCAAGATGCATCTGGTCCCATAGGAAGCTCAGTGCCTCTTCCTGGCCCTGGGACGCAGGTCCTATGTTTTCCACAGATTCCACGTGACTCTGTGTCTCTGTGAGCATGGAATCTCTCATTGCTGTCCTTTTAGAGCAACTGTGAGGCTAGGTGTCACTTCCCTCTTTAAAATGTGGAGACTCTTCAGGATTCAGACAAGAATGATGTTCTTGAGAGTCTTGCTCAAAGGCAGTAACACAGACAGGCACATTCAGTATCAGGTGTGGCGCTACCAGCTGAGTGGTTGAAAGACACTTGAGCAGGCTACTTCCTCCCTTGACTTCTCAGCAATACCAATGCCTTCCCCACAAAGATGGTGAGAATTCTTCCTGACTGAGAGACAGAGGAAATGAAACCAGCCATTCAATGCAGATGGAGACAGTGGCGGTTTGAAAGATTGACAAGTGGAGATGCCTCATCCAAAGGAGCAGAAGGAAGACTCCAGGTCAGACCCCGCATGTGGAGTCACCTGGATCGTGACAGACCGCTGTCATGCAGTGGGGAGGTCACGGTCTTTCCATCACATGGTGCTGGGCCAGTCGGAGAGTCTGTGGGACACAGAAGCTTTACCAGCCTCACAGCATTTGCAATCCGCAATGTCAAATGGTCGACAGATCAAAAGGTGAAAAACAAACCAGTTACCTTTTCTTTTGGAAAAAGGGAAGGGGGGAACTATCTTACTAGCTTATGGGTGACTTTTTTTTTCTTGATGTGGACAAAGAACACAAACTTAGGGGGGACAAGGACACAGTGGAATCCACTAACATGAAGAACTTCTTTTCCTGTAGACACAGCGAGACAGTGAGGACGATATTTGCTGTGCTGAATTGAGACCTTGGACTGGCATCCAGGTCATTAGGACACATGTACAAGTTGTTATATAGCAGCAGAGAGCAATGGAAAAGTAAGCAAAAAACGTTAACAAGCAAGGTATACTGACATGCTTATGTGCAGTGACATTATGTAAAGGTGAGAGCTGGCCTTGACTGGTGTTCTAAGTGGTTAGAGCACATGTGTCAAACACAAGGCCCGCGGGCCAAATCCGTCCCGCCAGGCCTTGCAATGTGGCCCGCACCGCGCTGTCATCACTGCACTCCGCTGCGTTTCCATCACAATGACAGTTTATGACTGTTCAGTAAACCATTCGGCCCGCGATTTAGGCTGGATTTTAGATTTTGGCCCCTTCTCTGATTGAGTTCGCCACCCCTAGGTTAGAGCATCAGCCTGACCACCTAAGGGTCACAGGTTTACTTCTGGGTCAAGGGCATGAGCCTTGGATGCAGGTTTGATCCCCGTGTCTCATGTGGGATGCAACCTATTGATGTGTCTCTCTCACATCAATCTTTCTCTCTCTCTCCTTTCCTCTCTCCCTTCCATCCTCTCTAAAAATCATTGGAAATAATATCCTCAGGTGAGGAGTAACCAAAAAATTTTTTAATAAAATGTGCTGAGCTTTATAAGTCATTGAAGAAATAAATATGCATCAAACCATAAGGTAGTACCAATACTTACACTGAATAATGAACATTAAAAAGGCAGGAAACACGATGGTTTGACAGGGATGAGAACCTACCAGGACCCTTGAACCAGGGAGACTGGAGGAAATGCTGAGACCACTGGGAAACTGCTCAGCCGAGTCTTTCATAAATGAGCTTCCTCAAGAGCTGTGGCCGGGTGTCCCATTGGGCTGTTCAGAGCCAGACTCTCATGGGCTGAGTCAGGACCAGAACCTGGGTCCTGCCCTCTCTGAGCAGGAGTCAGACACGCAGACACAAGAGACCTGAGGATCAGGTGAGACCTCAGGCACTGCAGCCCAGCCTCCTGAATCCTGGGCTCCCTGTGAGCCCACATTCTGGGGAGATGCAGAGCCAGGCTCAGGGCGGGGCCCTCCCCTGGCTGTGGGGTGTGGTAACCCCAAAGGGTTGCAACATCCTGTAAGTCATCACATCCTGTGAGACTCTCTTCTGCAGGCGCAGGCTTCCTCCATTTGCAGAGCGGAGCCTGCAGAGCAGATGCCATGGCATCCATCTTCTCTGCTCTTCTCTGCCTCGGTCAGTTGTGGACATTAGGAGGAGGGGGCAAGTGGGGGGTGGCACCCCTTGTTCATGGAGACCCTCAGGCTCAGGCAGCTGGAGTGGATAGGCCCTGATGGGAAAGGAATCAGCTGAGACATCTGGGTGCAGATCTCTCACAGGGACTCTCTTCCAGGGCTGAGTCTGGACCAGAGGACCCGTGTACAGGCAGGTGAGTCCTCCCCAGACTCCATGTCCCCCTTCTTCCTTCATCCCTGGGGCTCAGGAGGGAGCACAGAGGTACTGGGATGAGGTGATAAAATGAGAGGGTCTTGGGCTGAGGTTAGGGATGAGGGTGTGAAGGTCTTTGTAAAGCAGCTTCTGGTTTCCTTTTAGGGACCCTCTCCAAACCCACCCTCTGGGCTGAGCCAGACTCTATGATGCCCAGCGGGAGCTCTGTGACCCTCTGGTGTGGGGGGACAGTGGAGGCCAAGGAGTTCTGCTTTGAAAAAGAGAAAAGCCCAGCACCATGGAAAAGAGAGAAGCCACTGGAACCTGGGAACAAGGCCAAGTTCTCCATCACACGCATGACATCGGACTATGCAGGGATATATCGCTGTTACTATTGCAGCCCTAATAACACGTCAGAGCGCAGTGACCCCCTGGAGCTGGTGGTGACAGGTGAGAGGACACTCAGGGGTCCCAGCCTCAGGCTCTGCCCTCAGGAAGGGGGTCTGCTCTCAGGATGTCTCCCTCTCACAGCCCAGCCCTGGGTGACATGAGGGAGGTGTGAGCCCATTTAACACGCTGCCTCCTCCTCTCTTAGGATCCTACAGCAGACCCAGCCTCTCAGCCCTGCCCAGGCCTGTCATGACCTCAGAAGAGAACGTGACCCTCCAGTGTGGCTCAGGGGAGGGATTTGGCAGGTTCATTCTGACTAAGGAAGGAGATCACAGGTTCTTCTGGGCCCTGGACTCACAGCCACAGCCCAGTGGGCAGTCCCAGGCCCTGTTCCCTGTGGGTCCCATGACCCCCAGTCATAGGGGGACGTTCAGATGCTATGGCTGCTACAGGAACAGCCCCCAGGTGTGCTCACACCCCAGTGACCCCCTGGAGCTCCTGGTCTCAGGTAAGTTCCATTTTTATCCAATTCATTGATTCAGGAACCAAACTGGGGTGTTATTAGGGTGATTACTTTGAATGGAGCCCCATGTGAGGGGGTGAGGTCAGCGGATGACAAGAGCTCCTGGGCCAGACACACACACACACACACACACACACACACACACACACACACACAGAAAGAGAGAGTAAGACCTGGGTGCCAGGCCAGCAGAAGGGTTGTGTGGGAGGAGCAGCCCCTGTAATTCACATCTGGCCTCCCCAGGTGAGTCTGGGAAGCCCTCCCTCCTGAGCCAGCAGGGCCCCATCTTGACCTCTAGACAGAGCCTGACCTTCCAGTGTTACTCTGATATAGGCTATGATAGATTCGCTCTGCACAAGGAGGGAGGATGGGACCTCCCCCAGAGCCTTGTCCTGCAGCCCCAGGCTGGGCTCTCTCAGGCCCACTTCCCCCTGACACTCTGGGAGGCTGACAGGGGGGCGGGTACAGATGCTAGAGTAGGAACAAACTTTTCTTTGAGTGTTTGACACAGTGGCCCCCCACCCCCTGGACATCCTGGTGGCAGGTGAGGAGGCAGTGGATTCAGTCAGGGACCAGACTCCACATAGGCCCTGCTGGTGGTGTTAGGTGGTAAGGCCAGAATGAGAGTGCAGGGCCCCAGGGAGGAAGAGAGACATAGAGAGGCAGGGGGTGGGAGGGGAGAGGGGAGACTCAGAGAAACAGAGACAGACAGAGAGGAGGGTCCTCAGAGAGAGGCCTGATGACTCTCAGGTCAGATAAAGGTAGGCAGCTCACCCAGCATTGCTCAGAGGTTGAGCTTCAACCTATGAAACAGGATGTCACAGTTCAACTCCAGGTGAGTCTGGATGCCCAGGTTGCTGGCTCAATACCCACATAGGGGGGATGCAAGAGACAGCGGATCATATCTTCTTTCTTCTTTCTCATCATTGATGTTTCTATCATTCTGTCCCTCTCCTTTCCATATATATGTCACAGCCGACATCTGAGTGACACTGGAGGTTCAGGCTCTGTCTATAGACCACAGTGGGGCCCTGCTGGCTCAGGAGGGAGGGCTTCCAAGACTCATACGGGGAGACCAGATTTTTGAGATGAAATTTCTGCACTAGAGGTGGAGCAAAGGAGGAAGGAGGGTCCCCAAACCTGGCCTATTCCCAGTAACAGTGTGGGAGCCTCACAACCCATGGTGGCAAAGAGATAGGCCCTGCCCACCCATCGAGGCTCCTTGATAGATTCTTTTAAAGAGGTAGAATAGTGTGTGTGTGTGTGGGGGGAGGGAGGGTGGGGAGAGGGGTGGTGAGGTGGGCGGGATGGGAGAAGAGACAGGGATATGAGCCCCAATCCCCGGGCCCATTGCTGGTGTCAGGACCTGAGCCTCATGTCTCTGGCCAGCACCGGGGCAAGAACATAACCAGCTGATTGGTTCTTGCATGATGGCATCCTGACCAATTTGCACATTATCCAATTATTATATCGATTTTAACATATAAGGTGGGCAGGCAGCCCTCACCCTCCTCCCTCTTTCTAGGACACCTGACTGACAGACCCTCCCTCTCAGTGCAGCCAGGTCCCAGGGTGGCCTCAGGGGAGAACGTGACCCTGCTGTGTCAGTCACGGAGCCAGAGGGACACATTTCTCTGTCCAAGGAGGGGCAGCTGACCCCCGCCCCCCCTGCGTCTGAGATCAGAGCACCTGAGCTCAGCAGTTCCAGGCAGAGTTCTCCATGAGTCATGTGACCTCCGCCCACGGGGGCACCTACAGGTGCTACAGCTCAGACAGCTCCTCCCCCTTCCTGCTGTCACTCCCCAGTGAGCCCCTGGAGCTCCTGGTCTCAGGTGAGGGCCCCTGACCCTGTCTGCTGAGCTGTCAGCTCAGAGCCCTGTGCCCAAAAGAGGTGAGGCTAGGATGGAAGAAATACAATAAGAGTGTCTTGGGTTGAGCTATAGGATGCGGGTGGGGAAGGCCTTTGTAATATAGCCTCTTGTTTTCTCCAGGGCCCCTTCCCAAGCCCACCCTCTGGGCTGAGCCAGGCCCTGTGATCCCCTGGTGGAGCCCCGTGACCCTCTGGTGTCAGGGGACCCCAGGGGCTGAGGAGTACCGTCTGGATAAAGAGGGAAGCCAAGCTCCTTTTGACAGACAGTTTCCACTGGAGTCCGGAGACAAGGCCAAGTTCTCCATCACATATATGACAGAGAATAACGTAGGGATATATCACTGTTACTATCTCAGCCTCACTGTCTGGTCGGAGCGCAGTGACCCCCTGGAGCTGGTGGTGACCACAGGTGAGAGGACACTCAGGGGTCCCAGCCTCAGGCTCTGCCCTCAGGAAGGGGGTCTGCTCTCAGGGTGTCTCCCCCTCAAAGCCCAGTCCTGGGAGACATGAGGGAGGTATGAGTCCCATTTAACACCCTGCCTCCTCCTCTCCTAGGATCCTACAGCAAACCCAGCCTCTCAGCCCTGCCCAGCCCTGTCGTGCCCTCAGGAAGGAACGTGACCCTCCAGTGTGGCTCAGGGCAGGGATACCACAGGTTCCTTTTGAATAAGGAAGGAGATCACAGACTCTCCTGGGTCCTGAGCTCACATCGACAGCCCAGTGTGCAGTTCCAGGCCCTGTTCTCTGTGGGCCCCATGACCCCCCTCCACAGGCAGACGTTCAGATGCTATGACTGCTACAGACCCCATGTGTGCTCACAACCCAGTGATGCCCTGGAGCTCCTGGTCTCAGGTAAGTCCAGTTATTGCTCCACCCATGGACTGAGCTATCAGCCAGGTTGTTGTTATCGTTGCTATGAGGGGAGCCCATGTGAGAAGGTGGAGTGAAGTGATTACATGGTCTTCTGGGCCAGAGACACTGAGAGACAGTGAGACCTCGGAGCCAGGCCAGGAGAAGGGGTTTATGGGTGGAGATTCCCCTGTACTTCATGTCTGGTCTCTGCAGGTATGTCTAGGAAGCCCTCCCTCCTGAGCCAGCAGGGCCCCATCGTGGCCTCTGGACAGAACCTGACCCTCCAGTGTCGCTCTGATGTCGGCTATGTCAGATTCGCTCTGCACAAGGAGGAGGGACGGGACCTCCTGCAGAGCCCTGTCCTGCAGCCCCAGGCTGGGTTCTCTCAGGCCCACTTCTCCCTGAGCACTGTGAGAAGCTCCCACGGGGGCCGGTACAGATGCTACGGTGGATACAACCTCTCCTCTGAGTGGTCGGCCCCAAGCGACCCCCTGGACATCCTGGTGGCAGGTGAGGAGACAGTGGGCTCAGTCACGGACCCAGACTCTGTATGGGCCCTGCTGGGATCTCATGTGGTAAGGCCATAATGAGAGTGCAGGCCCCAGGGAGGGAGAGAGACAGAGAGAGGTAGTGGTGGGGGGAAGGGGGAAGATGCCTATAGACAATAGAGGCAAAGAGGAGGGTGACTTTCAGGTCAGATCCAATGTGGGCAGGACTCCCTCACTCTCTCTCTCTCTCTCTCTCTCTCTCTCTCTCTCTCTCTCTCTCTCACTAGGACACCTGTCTGACAGACCCTCCCTCTCGGTGCAGCCAGGCCCCAGGGTAGCCTCAGGAGAGAACGTGACCCTGCTGTGTCAGTCACGGAGCCAGAGGGACTCGTTCCTTCTGTCCAAGGAGAGGACAGCCGATCTCCCCCTGCATCTGAGATCAGAGCAAAGAGCTTGGTTGTACCAGGCAGAGTTCTCCATGAGCCCTGTGACCTCAGCCCATGGGGGCACCTACATGTGCTACAGCTCACACACCTCCTCCCCCTTCCTGCTGTCACACCCTAGTGAGCCCCTGGAGCTCCTGGTCTCAGGTGAGGGCCCCTGACCCTGTCCGCTGAGCTGTCTGCTTAGGGTCCTGTCCGCAGAATTATGGGCTGAAACGCGGGTGAGGGGCTCTAGGTATGGTTGCCCTGACGAGATCTTCTCCTTGGAGACCCTCCCACCCAGTCCACTCCCTTCCTCCTCACCTGGATACATAAGCAGTGAGAGGGTCTCAGAGGCCCCAGCACAGATGATAGAGGATGTCAGTGTGAAAAGGAGTCCAGCGTCACCCCAAGCCTCTCACCCTCTTCCTGTGCTCACTTCCAGGACCCTCTGGAGGCCTCAGTCCCCCACCCACAGGGCCCCCTTCCACAGCTGGTGAGTCCCGTGGAGCTCTGCCCAGAGGGAGCACAGCCCACCCAGCAAGTCCTGAGAGTCTGTCAGGGGATCGAGTGATCCAGATCCTCAAGGATGGGCTTGTGTCCTGGTGGGGGTGGGGGTGCACGGCTGAAAGTCCCAGGGTCTGAGGCAGGTGATGGGTGGTCATGGAAATGGGAGACATGGGGGCACAGGCTGGGGAGGAGCTGGGCTCATGTGGAGAGATGACAGCCCCCACCCGTTATTCCCCATCCTCATCCCAAGAGGCTCTGAGGATCAGTTTCTCTCATCCACGGTGTGTGAGATGGTCTGTGGGGAGACGGTGGGTGCCTCCATGGGGACAGGGGCTGAGCCATGAGCGGGTTCAGGCTCCTCTGAAGTCTCCTGCTTGGACTCATCCTTCCCCTGCCTGGGCCTCAGTGTCTCCAGGTGTAAAAGGAGAGAACCCTTGTCCAGAGCTCACATTTCCTGTGGTTCTGGCTCTGACCCTGACCTCCTGGGGGAGGGCCTCACAGGAAGCACCCAGGACATGATGTTATGGGGCCTGTCCCCTCTGCCTCAGTGACAGTGACACTGTACAGGGAGAGACGGGCAGGACAAGGGTCCAAGCACCTAGTCATTCCCCTCAGCTCAGGCTCAGCTCAGAGGAGGGAACAGGGTGGATCACCTCCTGGCTCTGCTGTTCCTGTTGTGGGGCTGGGCGGTCCCTTCTCTCCTCTTAGTGCCGTGTTCCTTTCTGCTCACCCCTGGTCCCATCCTGCTCACAGGCTGCTGGGGGATGAGGTGACATAAGGGCCTCTCAGAGCTCAGGAAGGCAGAGCCCCACTTCCTAGGTGGGCATCAGGCCCTGCAGGATGGAGAGGGGTCCTAGAGAGACTCAGAGTCCACCTCCCCACACCCTGCCCCTCCTGTCCATGCTGTGCTGGGGGGAGGGTAATGAGGAAGGACCCTCAGCTCCAGATGAGACATTTACAGGCCCCTGCAGATGAGGAGGCCGGAGCATGAAGCTGGTGTCCCACTGGGGACAGCGTGAGGGCAGCACAGGGAACCCACAGTCCTCATCCCAGGAGGCTTATTCAAGTCCCACCCCTGCCAAGTCCAGGCTGGGTGACCTGGGGCACGTGATTAACCTCTCTTAGCTTCAGTGAAGTGGGTGGTGGGGTTATCAATGCCTGGTGCATGGCTGCTGTGAGGTGAGAGAAGGTAAGTGACAGACCCCAGCAGGTACTCATCAAAGGGCATAATTGACTCATTCATGACATCACTAATGTCCTAGATCCCAAATGGTACTGGATAGGGATCTTGGTGGCCTTGGTTCTGCTGCTCTTCCTCCTCCTCTTCCTTTTCCTCCGACATCGGCGTCAGAACAAAGGCAGGACCTCAGGTGAGTAGAGAAGGGGGTGACCTGGGTCACACAGTGGGGAGCACAGAGCACCTGCCACAAGAAAACTAAATAGATGGAGAAGGTCAGCTGAGAAAAAGATTTCTCCAGAATCTCAAATAAAAAAACCTAGGAAGTATACCCTTATCATTAGCACAAATGCACAGATGTAAAGTCCTCTTTCACCCTTTTCAATATCATGAATATGAAACATTCTCACAAATGTTTTTCTGAATCTATTGATAAGACCATGTGATTTTTATCATTCATTGTGTTGATGTGGTATATCACGTGTATTGATTTGCGAATATTGAACCATTCTTGCATCTACAGAAAAAGTCCTTCTTGGTCATGGTGGATGATCTTTTAAATTTATTGCTGGATCTGGCAACATGAGGATAAGTGACAGGAAGACTTCAACAATGGAATTTAGGGGAAAAGAACCCATTGCATTGAATCTTTAGATCCATACACAACTAGATGAGAAAGATGTGGCGTGCATGCACTATGGTATATGCATCAGGCATAAAGAAGATGAAATGCTGCCATTTGGGACCACATGGATGGACCTAGATGGTATTATGTTGAGTGAAGTGATTCAGGAGACGCTGTTCCATCTCACTGTCTCTCTCCAGCAGAACATGCTGGTTGAAGGCCCCCAGGGAGTCTGTATGCCCAGGTGAACTGCTCAACATCAAGACTCAGGCAGTTAATGACCACCTCTTCTTCTTCTCTATCAGGGGCAGTACTAGACACAAAGGACAGACAAGGAGAAGAGGACAGACAGATGGACAGTCAGGTGGGTCCCATCCTCCCCAGGCCACGAGTCTTCTCAAACCCCAACCACGTTTCATCCCTCTCTCTCCCCCTGCTCCAGGCTGCTGCACCTGACACCCTCCAGGATGTGACCTACACGGAGCTGAACCTCTTGGCCCTTAGAGGGCAGACAAGTGCACCTCCATCCTCCCCATCAGAGGAGCCCCCAGAAGAGCCCAGTGTATACGCTGCTCTAGCCATCCACTAGCTCAGAGGGTGTCAGACCCCCACACTCTAGGGAGGGGGTCTGCAGGGACCCCAGAAGGCAGGAAAGTCTCCCCCCTGGACATTCAGCTAGTGCCTCACCTACCGTGGATACCTGAGGTGCTCCTGGGACTCCTGAAGAGTCACCTCATTCTATAGTCAAAGATAAGCCAATATCTCTACATTTGGAAATCAAAGCAACATATTTCTCAATAATCAATGTGTGAACAAAAGCAAGTGAATGTTTTAACTGAAATTGGAATGTAAATCTGACACACCAAACATGTGAAATAATAAAATTAAGAATCTTAATAAATCAATGGCCTAGTCTATTATGTCAAAAAGTTAGGTGGGAAAAAGAACTATTGCATTGAATCCTTAGATCCATAGACAACTAGATTATAAAGATGTGGTGTTTGTGCACAATTTAATATAAACCAGCCGTAAAGAGAATGAAGTCCTGCCATTTGGATGGATGGACCTAGAGGGTATTATGTTGAGTGAAAGGATTCAGACAAGGAAAGATGTCACTTATCTCTGGGATTTTTCACATCCTCAAAGAGAACCAAAGCAGACCCATAGAAATCAACAACAAACTGATGGTGCCAGAAGGGAGGGGAGGAAGGACCGGTGAGAAGGAGAAGGGCAGATAGTCAATAATAAATATCATATCTATGCTGTACAACTAAAACTAATAGGATATTGTATGCCAACTATGGTTTAATAAAAACGGTTAATTACAAAATGATTAAACAATAGGAATTTTTTTTCTAAATGAAGGTGTAAGGAGGAAATTGTAGGGAGCGGCTCTAGAGTTAAACCTTGGATTGACCTGTGTCAGAGACACAAACAAGGCCTAGCTAAGAAGGCAGAGCCCACTTATCATAATTAAGCCTGACCTTATGGCTGTTCGCTAGATCCTTCCTGGGTAGCTAATGGGCTGCGGGAGGTGCAGCAAGTGCTGCCAAAACAAGTGAAACTCACAAGAACATTGTAATTATGTTGATCACTGCTTTGTTTTTCTCTGATTATATAATAAAGGCTGGATCCTTGCTGGCTGGATCCTTCTCTGTGGCCTCATCCAGGCAAAGGAGGTCCCCTGAGCTCCAGCTATATTCTCTTTCTTTTTTTTTTCTTTTTCTTTTTTTTTAATTCCTCACTGACCCTCCTCAGCTCACCGAACCCTTGGCTGTGCTGGCATGCTATAGGAAAGGAAAACATCAACAAAAGGAAAAGACAGCCCACTGAATGGAGAACTATTTGCCGATACATCTGATAAGGGCTTATTGTTCAACATTTGTAAGGAACTTATAAATCTCAACACAAACACCCCCCCCCCAAACTATTAAAAAAAAATGGGCAGAGCACCTAAATAGACACCTCTCCAAGAAGGACATATCGATGGACAGTAGACATATGAATAGATGCTCAACATCACTAATCATCAAATGGAAAACACACACCTTTCCAAATGGCTTATCATCAATAAATCCACAAATATCGATGCCCTTCTATGATCACAGCGGCATTCTTTACAAAAGCCAACATCTGGAAACAGCCGAAGGGCCCACCAGCAGAGGAAAGCTGTGGCACATTCACACAGTGGAATAATATGCAGCTGTGAAATAGTTCTTACCTTTGGTGACAGCATGGATGGTCCCGGAGAGCATTATGTCAAGTGAAATAAGCCAGTCAGAGAAAGACAAGTACCTTATGATTTCACACATATTTGGAATCTAATAAACAAAATAAAACATAGTGGAAAGAGACTCATGAATACAGAGAACAGACTGTTAGCTGTCAGAGGAGAGGGGGTTGTGGGCTGGGGGAGAAGGGTGAATGGATTAAGCAAATAAGTAAAAGAAAGTCTCATGGACACAGACAATACTGTGGTGACTGCCAGAGGGAAGGGTGGGGTGGGGGAGGTAAAAACGGGCTAAGGGGTGCAGAAATAGACTAGACTGAGGGTGATAAGCACACAGTACCATGTACCGTTGATGTGGTATAGAATCATACCTGAATCCTGTATAATTTTGTGAACCGATGTCACCCCAGTAAATAAAAAAAATTCAATAAAAACCAAATACTTGTAGGTTGTTCAGAGATGTGGTTCCAGTCACACTCTCAGCGTCTGCTATTTTTTAGGATGAGAAGCAGGTGTCGCCTTCCTGTGAGGCTAGCGCCTTGTGAACAGTGCGCCTGTGGTGTGAGGACCCTGCCCCCCACATCCTGTGACCTTCTGTGCTGGGCTCAGCCCATGCCTCCCCTTCCTCAGAAGCACCCTGGTCCCCACGTCCTCAGCCTCAGGAAGTGCAGGTCCACAGGAGCTGAATATGGACTTAGTGTTTGTGAATTTCTGCTCCTCGCCTGCCTCTAAGGTGACAACACAGGAAGTGTCTCTCTCCTGTGAATTTTGTGCCTTTTTTTTTTTAAACATATTTTATTGATTTTTTACAGAGAGGAAGAGAGAGAGATAGAGAGTTAGAAACGTCGATGAGGGAGAAACATCGACCAGCTGCCTCTTGCACACCCCCTACTGGGGATATGCCCGCAACCAATGTACATGCCCTTGACCGGAATTGAACCTGGGACCTTTCAGTCCGCAGACCGACGCTCTACCACTGAGCCAAACCGGCTTCGGCAATTTTGTGCCTTTTTGACTGACATTGAAGTCTTTTATCCATTTGGGTATATTCTTGTGTATGGTGTAAATGGGTGGTCCTTCTCCTCCTCTTCCTCCTTCTCCTCCTCCTCCTCCTCCTCCTCCTCCTCCTCCTCCTCTTCCTCCTCCTCCTTTTTTTTCTTTTTCTTCATCTTTGCATGAGCCTGTCCAATTTTCCCAGCACCATTTTTCAGAGCCTGCCCTCACTCTGCTGTACATTCACAAAGTCACTAATCATCAGGGAAATGCAGGTGCTGGATGTGGAGAAAAGGGAACCCTCGTGCACCGCTGCTGGGAATGCAGCCGGGTGCAGCCACTGTGGAAAGCCGTATGGCGGTTCCTCAAAAAATAAAAACACCGAACTGCCATTTGACCCAGTGATTCCACTTCTGGGGATAGAATCAAAGAAACATGAAATGCTCATTCAAAAGAATATACCTGATACGCATCCCCTAGGTTCACTGTAAGATCACTTACAACAGCCAAGAGGTGGAAGCAGCCCACGTGACCATTGGTAGATGAGTGCATAAAAAAGCTGTGGTAAGTTTACACAATGGAGTACTACTGGGCTGTGAAAAAGGATGGAAGGCCTACCTTTTGCCGCAGCATGGATGGACCTGGGGGTCTGTATGCGAAGTGAAGTGAGCCAGTCAGATTAGGACAGGTTCCATATAAAATCACTGAAATGTGGAATCTAAACAACATCATCATGAAATGTATTTAATTTTTATTGTTGACACTGTTACAGATGTCCCCATTTTTTCCGTATGTGTTGAGCTATGCATATAAGCAGGTAAGTTCTTTGATTAATCTTTTTCTGCTCCCTCCCTTCCCACAGATCTGTCCATTTCTTCCATGCATCATGCCTCTCGACCTATTTTTTTAAATCAAGTTGTTTTGTTCATTAGATTCCACACATAAGTGAGATTGTACAATGTTTGTCTTTTTCTGACTGGCTTATGTCACTAGGGGCATAACCCTCCATGTCCCTCCATACCAGGGGTCCTCAAACTTTTTAAAGTGGGGGCCAGATCACGGTCCCTCAGAGAGCTGGAGGGCCGGACTATATGAACTACTAATTCCTACTGTAACACCTCGGCTGCGCTCACTGCCCAAAAAACCTGGCGGGCCGGATCAGACTCCTCTGCGGGCCGCATGTGGCCCGCGGGCCGTAGTTTGAAGACCCCTGCTCCATACTGTCTCAAAAGCTAAGAGATCCTTCGTTTTTTCACAGCTGTGTAGTATTCCCTGGTATAAATGTACCACAGCTGTTTTACCCACTCATCCACCGATGAGTACATGGGCTGTTTCTAGCAAACACCCTGTTATGAACACAGGGGAGCATACATTCTGTCGGATTGGTGTTTCGGGTTCTGAGGATACAGAGAACAGACTGTCAGCTGTCAGAGGAGAGGGGGTTGTGAGCTGGGGGAGAAGGGTGAATGGATTAAGCAAATAAATAACAGTCTCATGGACACAGACAATACTGTGGTGACTGCCAGAGGGTAAGGTGGGTTGGGGGAGGTAAAAACGGGCTAAGGGGTATGGAAATAGACTAGACTGACGGTGATATGCACACAGTACCATGTACCGATGATGTGGTATGGAATCATATACCTGAATCCTGTATAATTTTGTGAACCGATGTCACCACAGAAAAAAAAGATTCAATAAAAAACAAATACATGTAGGCTATTCAGAGATGTGGTTCCAGTCAGACCCTCAGCGCCTGCTATTTTTAGGATGAGAAGCAGGTTTTTGCCTTCCTGTGAGGCTAGTGCCTTGTGAATAGTGCGCTTGTGGTGTGAGGACCCTGCCTCCCACATCCTGTGACCTTCTCTGCTGGGCTCAGCCCCTGCCTCCCTTCCTCAGAAGCACCCTGGTCCTCAAGTCCTCAGCCTGAGGAAGTGAATATGGTCGACAGGATCTGAATATGGACTTAGTGTTTGTGAATTTCTGCTCCTCGCCTGCCTCTAAGGTGACAACACAAGAAGTGTCTCTCTCCTGGGAATTTTGTGCCTTTGTGACTGACATTGAAGTCTTTTATCAATTTTGGGTGTACTCTTGTGTATGGTGTAAGTGGGTGGTCCTTTCCCTCCTCCTCTTCCCCCCCCCCTCCTCCTCCTCCTTTTCCTCTTCCTCCTCCTTTGCAAGTGCCTGTCCAATTTTCCCAGCACCATTTTTTCAGAGCCTGCCCTCACTCTGCTGTATATTCACAAAGTCACTAATCATCAGGGAATGCAGATGCTGGATGTAGAGAAGAGGGAGCTCTCGTGCACCACTGCTGGGAATGCAGCCGGGTGCAGCCACTGTGGAAAGCCGTAGGGCGGTTCCTCAAAAAAGAAAAATGTGGAACTGCCACTTGACTCAGTGATTTCAATTCTGGGGATAGAATCAAAGAAATCTGAAATGCTCATTCAAAAGGATATACCTGACACGCATCCCCTACATTCATTGAAGCATCACTTACAGTAGCCAAGAGGTGGAAGCAGCCCACGTGCCCATTGGTAGATGAGTGAACAAAAAAGCCGTGGTATATTTACACAATGCAGTACTACTCAGCTGTTAAATAGGCGGAAGTACTATCTTTTGCTGCAGCATGGATGGACCTGGGGGTTTGTATAAGTGAATAGAGCCAGTCAGATTAGGACAGGTTCCATATAAAATCACTTAAATGTGGAATCTAAACAACATCATTAAATATATTTAATTTTTATTGTTGCTGCTGTTACAGATGTCCCCCATTTCTTCTGTTTGCCCACCTCCACCTCCCCTTGATTTCCCCTCCCTTGGCCCTCACCTCACTGTTGTCTGTGTCTATACGCTGTGCATAGTGAATCGATTCCCATTCTTTATCAAGTCCTCCCACCCACCTCCCCTCTGTCATGTGTCACTTTGTAAATCCATTTCTCCTCCTGTCTTGCTGTGTCTTCCATAATGTTGCCACGAGCATTCTCATTTTCTTTTTATACTGATTTGTGCACTGGTTGGAGTCCCTCAGCCTGGCCTGCACACTCTCTCAGCTCAGACCGAGGGATTGGACCAAAACCAGCAGTCTCACATCCCCCAAGGGATGGAGTAATGCCTGAAGTGGCAGGTGGCTGAGGAGGCGCCCAAGCCCAGGCCAGGCACCATGCCACTCCCGCTCATCCGGACTGCCCACTGCACCCGCCACCGCTCGGTAGTGCTACCACGGAGGCGGGTGTCCCTCGTATTTCCACAGCGGTGCTCACCAGCAGTGAGCCCAGTGTCTGGCTCACGTAGGTCAGCTGAATGGTGCACACTGACAACCAAGGGTCAGTTTCTGCATTTAGTGTCTACCCCTTGGTGATCAGTGTTCGTCACAGTGACCAGTCAACCGGTTTTTTGGTCACTGTGGCTTATAGATACATAGATTAGATAGATATGTAGATAGATAGATAGACAGATAGATGATAGATAGTTAGATAGATAGATAGATAGATAGATTCTCCTTCAAGTTAATACTGTAACTTTTGTGTTCTTACTGACATGATAACAAATGACCTTCGTCTCTACCTATATGCACTCCCTCCACCCAGCACACATCCCACTGAAGGCCTTTTACACGCTAATATCTATGTCTTTGAGCTAAGCATATAAGCAGATAAGTTCTTTGATTAATCTTTTTCTGCCCCCTCCCTTCTCTGAGATCTGTCCATTTCTTCCATGCAGCATGCCTCTGGACTTATTTTTTTGATCAAGTTACTTTGTCCATTAGATTCCACATATAAGTGGGATCATGGGATATTTGCCTTTCTCTAATGAGTTTATTTCAGTTAGCGTAATAATATCCAGGTCCCTCCATAATGTTTTAAATTGTAAGATTTTCTTCTTTCTTTTTTTTTTTTTTTTTTTTAACAACTGAATTGTATTCCCTGGTGTAAATGTACCACAGCTGTTTTGTCCTCTCATCATTTGATGGGCACTTGGGCTGTTTCCAGGTGGTATCTATTGCAAATACCACTGCTATGAACACGGGGGAGCATACTTTCTTTCAGATTGGTGTTTCGGATTCTGAGGATATATTCCCACAGTGGGATCTGCTGGGTCCATTGGGCAGTTCCATTTTGAGCTTCATGTGAACAACTGAGGAATAAATGACTAACACCTCTGCTATAAAAACATCCAGTGGGTGTTGAGACTGTTTTCTGATGGACACAGCACCAACCTGACCCTGCATAGTCCACTCAAAGTTGTCATCACAGAATCCAAAAGCCACAGCAAATGTGTAGAGTCACCAGGAACCAAGGAAAAGATCCCTGAAGTGCAGGGAGGGATCGGGCACCTGACCCCCGAGAGCCTTCTCTCCTCCTGAGCCCTTAGTTTAGGGAAACTCAGACCCAGGCCCAGGGCGGGAGAGTCCACAGGCAGTGGGTGCACAGCTCAGGGACACGGAAGGGCTGCAGCAGCTTCTGATCCACCACATCCTGTGCCTCTGTCTTTCCGGCCCTGAGTCTCCTCCATTTTCGGAACAGGAGCCCTCAGAGCAGACGCCATGATGTCCCTCCTCTGCGCTCTTCTCTGCTTCGGTCAGTTGTGGACATGGGTAGGGGCAGCAGGACGGGCAGCGGCACCTTCTTGTTCATGGGGAACCTCAGGCTCAGGCAGCTTGAGTGGACGGGGCCTGAAGGGAGGAGAATCAGCTGAGACGTCCGGGTGCAAATCTCTCACAGGGACTCTCTTCCAGGGCTCAGTCTGGAACAGAGGACCCATGTGCAGGCAGGTGAGTCCTCCCCAGGCTCTATGTCCCTCCTCTTCCTTCTCGGCTGGGGCTCAGGAGGAAGCACAGAGGTCCTGGGCTGAGCTGGGGATGAGGGTGGGAAAGGTCTTTGTAATGCAGCCTCTAGTTTCCTTCAGGGACCCTCCCCTAATCCACCCTCTGGGCTGAGCCAGGCCCTGTGATCCCTGATGGGAGCCCTGTGACCATCTGGTGTGGGGGGACCCTGGAGGCCCAGAAGTTGGATCTATACAAGGAAGGAGAATGTGTGCTTTGGAACACACGGACTCAAAGGAAGTCCACAAACAAGGGCAAGGTCTCCATCACACACATGACAGAGTAGGATGCAGGGAAATACACCTGTTACTATTATAGCCCCACTGGCTGGTCAGAGCGCAGTGACCCCCTGAAGCTGGTGGTGACAGGTGAGAGGACACTCAGGAGTCCCAGCCACAGTCTCTCTTCAGGAAGGGGTTCTGCTCTCAGGGAGTCTCCCTCTACAGCCCAGCCCTGGGGGACATGAGGTAGGTGTGAGACCATTTAACCCACTGACTCTTCCTTTCCTAGGATCATACAGCAAACCCAGCCTTTCAGCCCTGCCAAGCCCTGTCGTGCCCTCAGGAAGGAAGGTGACCCTCCACTGTAGCTCAGGGCATGGATTTGACAGGTTCATTCTGACTAAGGAAGGAAATCTTAGTCTCTCCTGGGCCCTGGACTCAGAGCCACACCCCAATGGGCCGGCCCAGGCCCTGTTCCCTGTAGGCCTGGTGAACCCAATTCACAGGTGGATGTTCAGATGCTATGGCTGTTACAGGGACAGACCCCAGGAGTGCTCACCCCTCAGTGACGCCCTGGAGCTCATAGTCCCAGGTGAGTAGGTCCCATTCTACTCCCATCCATGGATTGAGGCACCAGACACATTGGAATCTTCTCTGGGAAGGGAACCCCATGTGAGAGGGTGAGGGGAGCACAGGGGCTCCTGGGCCAGAGACACAGAGAGAGACGGTGAGACCTGGGGGCCAGGACAACAGAAGGGGTTTATGGGAGGAGCAGCCCCTGTCATTCATGTCTGGTCTCCCCAGGTGAGTCTGGGAAGCCCTCTCTTCTGAGCCAGCAGGGCCCCATCGTGGCCTCTGACCAGAACCTGACCCTCCAGTGTCGCTCTGATGTCGGCTATGACAGATTCGCTCTGCACAAAGAGGGGGGACGGGACCTCCCCCAGAGCCTTGTCCTGCAGCCCCAGGCTGGGCTCTCTCAGGCCCACTTCCTCCTGAGCAATGTGAGCAACTCCCACGGGGGCCGGTACCGATGCTACGGTGGATACAACCTCTCCTCTGAGTGGTCAGCCCCCAGCGACCCCCTGGACATCCTGGTGGCAGGTGCGGAACCAGTGGGTTCAGTCGGGACCCAGACTCTACACAGGTCCTGCTGGGGGTCACTGGTGGGGAGGCCAGAGTGAAGGCGCTATGCCCAGGGAGGGGGAGAGAAGAGAGATACAGGGTGTGGGAGGTTAGAGCGGGAGACTCAGAGGAACACAGACAGACAGTGAAGAGGATCCTCAGAGAGAGGCCTGGGTACCCTTGGGGCAGAACAAGGTGGACAGGCAGCCCTCACCCTCTCTCCCTCTCTCTGTCTAGAATGGCTGTCTGACAGACCCTCCCTCTCGGTGCAGCCAGGCTCCAGGGTGGTCTCAGGAGAGAAGGTGACCCTGCTATGTCAGTCACGGAGACCGATGGCCATGTTCCTTCTGTCCATGGAGGGGGCAGCAGATCCCCCCCTGCGTCGGAGATCAGAGCACCGAGCTCAGCAGTACCAGGCAGAGTTCTCCATGAGTCATGTGACCTCAGCACACAGGGGCACCTACAGGTGCTATAGCTCACACAGCACCTCCCCCTTCCTGCTGTCACACCCCAGCGATCCCCTGGAGCTCCTGATCTCAGGTGAGGGCCCCTGACCCTGTCTGCTGAGCTGTCCGCTCAGGGTTCCATCCCCACGAGAATGATGGGCTGAAAGGAGAGTGAGGGGCTCTAGGGATGGTCACCCAGAGGAGATCTGTCCTTTAGAGGCACCCTACCACTGTCCACAGCGCTCTCCTCACCTGGATCCAGAAGGGGTCAAGTGGGCAGTGGTAGGGTCTCAGGGGCCACAACACAGATGTAGGAGGAGTCTGAGTGCATTTCCCACTCCAGGGTCAGCACCAGCTCCTCACCCTGTTCCTGTCCTTCCCATGATCCTGTGGCACCCCAGTCCCCCACCCACAGGGCCCATGGCCACAGCTCGTGTGTCACTGAGTGCTGGGCTCTGAGGGAGCATGGACCACCCAGGAAGTCCTGAGAGTCTGTGAGGGCATTGAATCTCTCCTAGATACTCAAGGACGGCTTGTGTGGGGGATGGGGAGCTGAGAATTATGCTGTGATACCAGGAACCACCAGGCTCCTGAGGCGGATAGGCTGCCAGGTGACAGAGGTGGGGGGGGGCAGGGCTAAGGGGGACATTGTGGCCCTTCTTTGGGAGGGGCAACTGAGCTCAGCTGGTAAGAATCCAGCTCCTAGTCTCACCCCACATCCTTATCCACAGGAGGCTCTAAGGATGGGCTGCTCCCCACTATGGAGTCAGGCACCCAGAGCGGTAAGTGAAGGAGGTGGTGGGAGCCTCCATTGGGACAGGGGCTCAGCCACACAGGGGTTCAGGCCCCTATGATGGCTCTCACTTGGACTCACCCTTTCCCTGCCTGGGCCTGTGTCTCCAACTTTAAAGGAGAGAACCCTTGTCCAGAACTTAGACAACCTGTCCTTTCTCGTCCTGACCTCCTGAAATAGGACCTCACAGGGAAGCCCCCAGGACGTGATGTTATGGGCCTGTCCCTTCTGTCTCAGTGACAGTGACACTGTACAGGGAGGAACGGGCAGGACAAAGGTCCAGGCACCCAGTCTTCTTCCCTCAGCTCAGGTTCAGCTCAGAGGAAGGAACAGGGTGGATAAGCCCTGGATCAGGCCCTGGCTCTGCTGCTCCTGCTGTGGGGCTGGGTCGGAACTTCCCTCCTCTGAGTGCCGGGTTCCTGTTTGCTCATCCCTGGTCCCATCCTGCTCACAGGATGCTGGGTGATGAGGTGACATAAGAGACGCATAGAGCTCAGAATGGCAGAGCCCTCAGCCCAGCCAGACCTTCCCAAGGGGCATCAGGGCCTTTGTGGGTAGGGATGGTTCCAGGAGAGACTCAGAGTCCACCTCTCACCCGGACCCCCCTGTCCCTGCTGTGCTGGGGGTGGGTAATGAGGAAGAACCCTCAGCTCCAGATGAGATGTGGACAGGCCCCTGAAGAGGAGGAGACTAGAGCATGAAGCTGGTTCCTCCTGGGGGTTAGAGTGAGGACAGCAGAGGGAGCCCACAGTCCGGGTTCCAGTCCCAGCCCTGCCCTGTCCAGGCTGTGTGACATGGGGCACATGGTTAACCTCTCTGAGCCTCAGTGAGGTGGGTGGTGGGGTCAGCAATCCCTGATGCATGACTGTCTGAGGGGAGAGGAGATGAGTGACAAACCCCAGCTCATTCAATGGCAAAACTGGCTCATTCATGACGTCACTCGTGTCCAAGGTCCCAAATGGAACATGAACATCCTGATTGGGCTCTCGGTGGCCCTCCTTGTCCTCCTGCTCTTCCTGTTTCTCTTCTACCTCCGACACCGGCATCAAAGCAAAGCCAGGACCTCAGGTGAGTAGGGAACAGGGTAACCTGGGTCACACAACGGGGTGCTCAGAGCACTTGCCACAGGAAACCAAATGGATGGAGAAGGTCAGCTGAGAAAAGACTTCTCCAGAATCTGAAATCAGGAAATCCAAAAACAAAGCAGTGTCAGCACAGATGTTCAGTCTCATGAAATATACACACAAGTGTGTTAAGGTTTCCTTCTTTCCAGTGGAATCCCTGGGGGAGGGGCTCCTAACCTCCCTGGGCTGAGACAGACCCTATGGACCAGCCCAGAGAGATGCTCATGTCCAACCTCCTGAAGGGACCACACACCCAGAGGCCAAGGACAGAGGCCTGCAGATCATGTAATTCCTGTCCCAAAGACCCAAGAACTCCACCATCCATGGCCCATCTCTGCCCCTAACATTTCTGTCTCCTCCCCCAGCTGTAGCCCAGATTTGGATGCTCTTTGAGAGGAAGAAACATCTCCCCTGGAGGAGGGGAGACAAGAATTGAGGATAAATTTGTGGAGGAGACAGCCTGGAAGGGTGGGGTTCAGGGTGAGACCACACTGCCTGACCTGATGTCTCACCTCACCCTGGGTTAATGGCCCATCTGGGAGCAGGCAGGGCCTGCAGCCCTGAGAACTTGGGCACCTTTCAGGAGACATACCCCCCTGTTCATCCCCAGCAGATGCTGCCATGATGTTCCTGCATCCTGGGGAGAGTGTGGAGCCAATCCCACGGGTGAGATCCCTGCACCTGTCAAGCCACCAAGGACCTTCTGTTGCCCAGTTTAATCCATTGGACCCTTCCCTGTCCCAGCTCACCTGCTTCTCAGCAGTGTCCACACCGACCTCTCCTTCTGGGCCCCCAGGTCATCCTGCTGTGACTCAGTTCTCCTGTTTTTTGTGTGACTTCATGGCCCCTCCTACAGGGCCCCCTTTGCTGGCCCCTGGTCCTTTTTCTGACCTTGTGCAGCCCCAGGTCTCAGGAGGAGGCAGGAGTGAGTGACTCACCACAGGTCCCCAGGACCCCTTCATTCATTCACCCAGCAGATGTGAGGGGCTCACTGTACCGGCTCCATTTAGGGGCCACGGTGCCGCCCTGAGCCACACTGTGTCCACACGCCTCGAGCTCACCTGTGGGCTAGGGAGACAATATGCAAACAAGCAGACAGTGTCCCAGAGAGCAAAGTGCTATGAAGGAACATAAAGCAAGAGGAGGGGATAGAGTGCATGGTTAGGAGACAGGGAAAGAGCAGGTGCAGATGTCCTGAGGCAGGGCCTGCTTCTTCAGGAGGAGGGGCCATGAGGTTGGAGCCCAGTGAGCAAGAGAGAGAGAACGTTAGGATGAGAGTCAGAACCAGAAGCCCCAGGTGTTAGGAAGGCCCTACAGGTTCCACCAGGAGAGGGACCTGGTCTATTTAAAGTGTAAACCATCTATCTGGCAACATGAGGATGACTGACAGGAGAATTTCTACTGTGGAACTAAGGCGACACTATTCTGTCTCATTGTCCCCAGCAGAACAGGCAGGATGAAGACACCGAGTACGATATACAGTCAGGTGAACCACTCAAGATCAAGAACTGGACAGGTAATGGCCACACCTCCTTCATCCCTATCAGGGTGATTATTGGATAAGAAGGGCAGACAAACAGAAGCAGACAGACAGATGGACAGTCAGGTGAATCCCATCCTTTCCATAGCCCAAGACTACCCCAAATCTAACCACATTCCATCCTACTCACTCTCCACTGTTCCAGGCTGTCACCTACTCCCAGCTGAACCACTTGACCCTCAGTCAGAAGACAAGTGCACCCCCATCCTCCCCATCAGAGGAGCCCAGTGTGTATGCTACTCTGTCGATCCACTAGTCCCAGAGGGACCCAGACCCCGCACTCCAAGGAGGGGTTTGGCATTTCCCAGAAGAGGTGGAAGCCTGATGTGGACCTCCACAGCTTCTGGAAACCTCTGGGAGTCACCTGATTTTGTGGTCTAGATAAGCAATATCACCTGACCAGTGTTGCTCAGTGGTTGAGAGTCGACCTATGAACCATGAGGCGACAGTTCCTTTCTTGGTCAAGGATCATGCCCAGGTTGCTGTCTTTTCCTTGATAGAACGTTTGTGGGAGGCAGCCAATCAATGGTTCTCATCATTGATTCTTCCATGTTTCTGTCCTTCTCCTCTCCTTTCTGAAATCAATAAAAATCTATGCTAATAATAAATGGATATACAAATTGTCTGGAACTCCTTCACAGTAATGAACAGCAGCCTGTGTGGTGCAACAAGGCCAGCAGTGGTATTAGTGAGGGAAGACCAAATGACTAAATAGCAGGCTGCATGGGGAGACCAGGCTGGCAGGAGGGACTGTTGGGGGAGATCAGGCCAATGAGGGAGGGCGAGAAGTTGGGTATGACCATACTGGCAAGCAGGCAGTTGGGGGACCAGTTCGGCAGGGGGTACAGTGAGGGGTGACCAAGCTATCAGAGAGAGGAAGCAAGGGGGGCACCAGGCCAGCAGCGGGGTTGGTGGGAGGTGGACAGTTAGGGGCGAGCAGGCTGGCAGGGAGGTCAGTTGGATGCGTTCAGGCCTGAAGGGGGGAAGTTGGAGGTGACCAGGCTGGTAGGGGGGGAAGTTAGGGGTGATCAGGCAGGCATGCAGGTGAACAGTTAGGAGCCAGCAGTCCCAGATTATAAGAGGGATGTGCGACTATCAGTTTAGGCCTGATCCCTGGGGCCTGAACTGGCGGCAGTCGAATACCTCCCGAGGGGTCCCAGATTAGAGAGGGTGCTGGCTGGGCTGAGGGAACCCAACCCCTGCAAAAATTTTGTGCATTGGACCTCTACTCTATTAATAACAAGATAACAAATATCCCTACTTTTAAAAAATAAAGCAACAGACTTCTCAATAATAAATGTGTGAACCAAAACAGAAGTGAAAATTTCTTAAAATTAAGTGATAATGTAAATAGTACACATCAAATCTATTAAATGAGAAAATTAAAAACCATGAATGGTAGAAAAGAAAATGCCTTAAAAACCATTGGCTTGTTCTACTATATCAAGAATTCAGAGGGTGAAAAAGATTGGATTGAATCTCCAGTTCTTTAGGTGACGGGATGAAAAAGATACAGCATCTATACACAATGGCATACAAGTCAGCCATAGGGTGGGGGAAATGAGGGCTGGATAGGCAGACCTGTCAGATACCTGGTCTCAAGGCCAGGCTTAAAAGGCAACTCCACTGGAGAACATTCACCTGGGATTTCCAATTAAGGAGGTGACTTATAACAAGGAAGAACAGAAGGCACCTGAAGACGAAGCACTGGAGTTTTCATCAGCAACTACACACATGAGGCACTGGCTCAGGGAAGATGTGGACTTGAGATGCTTGAGGACAGGCGGGCGAAAGATCATGCAGGGAGTCCTGAAAGACCAGGAGTCAGGAGTCCTGTATTGGGTCATTCACAGGCTTCCAAACGGAAATGCCCATTTTCTGTGAGCAGAGCTACGGCCTCCCAACACCCAGAGGGCAGGTAAAGGGGGAAAAACCTGCCCTTCGTGATACAGCCTGTTACACCCTGCATTCTAGCTTTGTAGAGGAAACAATGGCAGAGGCTAAGCTTATGGGTCTGAACAGTCTCAAGGAGCTCTCAGTGACCAGAGTGGAGAAGGGGCCATCCATCCCACTCTTGAAGGAACCAGACCAATAAAAACCCCTGAGTGCCAGCTGACCCCATTGGTCTCCATACAAGGATCTCTGTCCAGCCAAGGACAGAGCAATATTTAGGCCACTCTTGGAAGATAGGACACACACCCATCTTATTTTCTGAAAGCAAAACAACGCCAACCCAAGGATGGTGTGGTATATAATCATACCTGAATCTTGTATAATTTTGTGAACCGATGTCACCCCAGTAAATAAAAAACTTGAATAA